TGATTAGTCAAACTGTAGCACGCTTGTGCGATAGGTAGTGGTGCTGCAGGGATGGGACAAGGGATGTGAGAGGTGAATGGATGGTTGCTTCTCTTGGAGATAACAGTGATGGTTTTAAGGCAACATGTGAAACTGGTGCTGTGGAAAACTTGGCTCAGCCTATTCCTCAGCCTTTTTGTGCCTATAGCAGATAGATCCTTGTGCAGGGTTTCATATGGAAACTGCACTTTGAGTAAAATGAGACTCGTGCTTGAGGACATCTCTTCTAAAAGATCAGTGTGAACAAACAGTGATTGAAGTTGAAGCCCACAACCGTTTTCATTCCATAGTCTGGCAGTGTGAGAATGGCACTGCTTTAGAGAGGTAATAGTGAAACATTCATAAGCTCTTTTAGCAGGATGTGGAACTGGCAGGAATGGCTGACAAACCTGTTAGACCTTTCTGTGTATGCTTCTGCCTTTTCTCAGTCTGTTCTTATCACAGCCTCGGTTTTACCTTTTTCTTCTGAATCTTTATTTCTTTTTTGTTTTTCAAGAACTGCTCAGGATCTTTCCTCTTGCTCCAGACTCTTCTGGAAGTGATAACCCACTGCTGAAAGTGGTGGGGGCTGGTAATGTACCAGTTGTGTTACTGGAGCAGAACACATGCTGTGCTTAACCCAGCAATTTTGTCTGTGACAATATTTGGATGCCTCTGAGGGAAGTGCAGCAGGAAGAGCATTTAAACAAAACAGAACACTCAGAGATTCTGCACATCAGGTTGTTGGCTCCCTGGAGCCTGTGGATTCTTCTCCTTGATTTGACCTGAACAAGCTTGTACCAAAACCTTAGGAATAACAGACATCCACTTGTTTCTGCAGCATTCTCATCTTTCTGCTGTTTCTGAAAATCAAGGGAGTATGTTCTAACTTGCCATCTACAACTGTGCCACTAGGTCACCTCTGTGTTCTGGGGCTCTGTGCCTGCACAAGGGTTACTAAGCATGTGTGGTGTTAGGAAAGGTGCTATGACCCAAGTGTTTGCATCCTTTGAAGGAACATTTCTGGCTCAGTCTTTGCTTCTTACTGATTGCTGTCCTTTGGAAGAAGTCAGGAGGTGGTGGAGCAGCCACGGAGCCTCTTTGGTCTTGTGAGCTTGTTTATGTCTATGTTGAGTTCTTTTTCCAGAAGTTCTATAATTATGCAGTGTTCAACTGGAGGTTGTTTGGCACCTTCCCATTCATGTGCTTTCTAACCAGGCTTTTGACTGAGGCTCAAGTTTCTTAGCTGTTACTAGTCTTGAACTTGCTACCAAGTTTTAAGTTTAGATTTAAACTTAATTATCTGCGTGGACAAAAATGGAGATAACACAAAGTAATCACCCCGAGCTGTTCCATCGGGAAGGTCAGTGGTCATTTTAATCCCTCCGTGCTTTGTTTTCCTTGTCTGGAGACAAATGTGCTTCTTCCTCAAAACAAGAGTTCTGAAACTTTTCAAAGTTGCTTCAAGGACCTTTAAGGTCCTTGCAGGACACTAATACAAAACAGTCTCCATTTTGTTTGTTTCTGTTTGTTTTGTTCTACAGCTCTTCCAAAATCCAAAGAAAAGGTCCTAATCTATAAGTAGAAAACGTAAGATATGTAAAATAACTAACTTAAAAATCAAGGTAGGTGTTTTGCTCAGATTAGTAGACTCTCTCTATATATACTTCTAAGATGTGTTATAAAGAGTCTGCCTTAAAGTTGTCAAGATCTATAGATTGCATTTTGCATCTAGAAGCAAGTGTCAATGGTCTCTGAAAGTCCAGGCCAGAAACTGGTGTTGGCCCCTGCTTAATAAAAGTGTGTTTTAAGGAGCTGAGGCCTACGTGCTTGGGCCAGAATAGAAACACAGGGAGGTACTTGCCAAGTGAGTTAACAAAAAAAGAAGACTCTTTTTTCAGGTTCCAAGTGCCAGTAAGAAGCACATTAAGTATTAAAATGAATTGCTGAAGGAGTGAATACCCATGGAGAGTGAAGAGATCAGAAATTTCTATTCCAGTCACTTAGGACTGTGCATTCATCTCTGCTGGAAACTTCAGTTGTACTTGTGACCTTCACAGGCACTGTGCTTTCCAGCAAGCTGCCTGAAGCCCATGGGGTGAATGTGCCTGCCTCCCTCCTTCCTTTCCTCCCCTTTCTCTTAGAGTAGGTAAGAATGATTTTTGCTTTCATTTCCCTTAGAAGGAGGCACTTCACCTGTTGTCTGAGGTACAATGGTCTCTTGCATTCTACACATGAAGATTAGAAGCCTTGGAAATCTTTGGCCTTAGCTTTTGCACCTGAAATAAAAGCTTCGGTCAAAGACTGTGAGAGAAGTCTGAAGCAGCCATATGGCTTCTGGGAGCTGTGTTTATATCACCAAGTCACAGAATTCCAGTAGCTGCTTCTGAAGGGCATTGCCAAGCAATGATGCTCTGTTAAAATACTGCTGCTAATTTTCCACCTGCAGTGTATGTATTAGAGTGGCTTCAGCAAAAGAGAAAATCAAGATATTCCAGTGCTCTGAGTCTGTAGCATTCTCAGTGACAAGAAAGGCACTGCCTGAAGGCTTCTGTTATGTACATGCAAAACAATGGCACAGTATGTTATTTCCAAACATATTGTTATTTGCAAACAGAAAACCAACCGCTGGCTTTTCTGTGCTCTGCAGCCTATTGAAATCCTGGCTGTGATTCCAGCAGAGATTTTTCCATAAATAGCTCTGTACTACTTGGGAACACAAACAAGCCTCTGAAAACATCTAAAGTAAGGTCTGCTGAGGGGACTGTTGAGCTGGTGTTGTTAGTGTGTGCTTGGGGGTAGACACTGTGGTGGATGTGAACGGTTTCTGCAGGGTGGGGGGGCTGTCAGCAGCATTTGAGAAGTAGCTACTGATTGGAATTGGTTTCAAGGACTCATATATTACCTGGCTTGAGCATAGGGAAAGCACTAATACAAATGAACAGATAGAAGCAGCAGCAGGTATGTTTTCCTTTAGTACTGAAGTTTGTGTTTTTTAAATAACAGCCATTAGGTAATGACTTTAGGTAGTAGTTCAAATAAATACAACCAGAGATGATTTACTTTTTCAGTGAACAGACATCCAAATTAAAGCATCCTTTTAACGTTTTTGCCGATTGCATGTTTGCTTATGTGAATTGAGAGCTAATTTTGGTAGTGCAGGTTTTTCAGGTATTATATAGGTGAAACACCCTCTTGAATAAGTAATACAAGGTCAACTTCAGTGTAGATGTGTTCAGCTATAATTGGTGTAAGCTATCTTGAGTAAGGTAATTTGTTGTCTTGAGGAGAAGCTTGCAAACATCCTGTGCATTAGGAGAGATGAATGAATCCATCCGGCTGCTGCCTGGGCCACAGGGCTGATTTCTGCTAGGCCTGCTGCTTGGAAGTATTTGTAACAAAGCCCCTTTTACAGGGACTCAAAGTGCATGAGAATAACTGGGGTACTTGTGGAACCTGTGCTGAGTGACAGAGGCACTTCCATGTCCTGCTCAGCCCCTGCTTATCGAGCAAATGTGTTTCTCATCTGTCACAGTGGAACGGGGATGGCATCGCAGAGAACGGGCTGACAGACCTTGGGAGCTTGTTAGTGTAGTCTCTCAGTGCACATCTTTCAATTATAACTGTTAGTCCTGTTGGATGTGTGCTACAAAACCTTCGTCTGTGGAGATTCTAGAGTCTCAGAAGCACATACCTGAGATCTTAGCTACCCACAGCCTTGAATGACTTCTTTCATAATGTCTAAAGTCACCTTTGAAGGAGCACCTGAAATTCCTGTGTGGGGATTGTGCTCTGGTCTTGAATGGAAATTACTCCCGATACCCATAAGAGGCAGTGACTTCATGCTATTAACTGGATACAACTTAGTGGGAAGAACAGCTTAACTGCTGACACTTTCTTTTTTTAAGGCCTAGATGGTATTTCTGAGCTTCTTGAGATTCTTTCCCCCCTCCCTGAACATTCTTTGTCATTGCTCCTGGGCATATTGAGAACAGCTCCTCAAGAAAATGGAAGTATGAATAAAAGAGGCAATACAGCAAAGCACTCCTGCTACCAAGGGTAATGAGCCTGGTTTCTGGAAAATAGATACATTGCTGACGTGTTTCTCACAGTGAGAAGAAATAAAGCTTGAATCAACATCACTCCAATTCTTCTAGTGCATTTTGGGAAGCCTCATGCTGTGTATAACTTGTCATAGCATGTCTTGGGAGTGTTATGAGCCCTTCTGTAAGCCTTGTATGTAAGTCCTGAAGGAGCCTGGTGAGTGTGTAGAGCTGTGACTGAACCCTAAGAATACAGGTTTTCCAGGCTTGAGACAGAGTTGTGGTCTCCTCAGTCTTCCTGCTGCATATGGTTAGTGGGATGTCCTTCACCTGCAGGTCAGCAGGAATGTTTTCAGGGAGGTAGGGAACAGCAGCACTCTTCTCTGAATGGAGGAGGTTTCATTCCTCTGGTCCAGCATAAAGTTAATTCTGGAAAATCAGTAAATCTGGGTTTTTGGCCTCGGCAGTGCTAAAATTGTGATGTTAGTTTCTTGGAAATTGGCTATGCAGGAACAGTTTGTTGTAACTTTATTAATGCTATGTTGTAAAGTAAAGCTCTGCAGGCAGAAAATACGGTGGAACAAGTTGTGTACCAGAGGACTAAAGCCAGACAAATGCTGTGTTAGAGCAGAAATAATCAAATCTGTTCTTTATAAGCCTTTTTGTCTTGACTCTCATGTTGCTTAGCAAGTCCCTCAGTTTTGAGAGTGATAGAACATTCAGGCACCTAAAGGGATCTCATATGAAGTAATTGTGGGCATGAAGTTAGTTCCTGCTACGGTTAGTTTTGTTCCCTATACTGAGATACGTAGGACCTGTATGTGATTTTACAGACAGAAGGACAGAAATGGCGAGTAACTCCATGACTACAAACATAACTTAACCCCTTTATCGTCTTTGTCCTGGAAGATCTGTCATAAATGAGTGTAGGGTTTGCAGGCTGAACAGTGCTGCTGTAATGAGAGCACAACTCCTGTGGCTCATGTTCGAAACTGCCTTGGCTGCCAGAATTCTGTGGCACGTGATTGAAGCCAAAGGTTTGGGGTTTCTTTGCTTGCATCTAAACAGGGACACTTAATTCTTCCAGGTTAAGTGTAACTGATGAGTGCTGTGACAAGAGCAGGGCACAAGCATACCTAGGCCAGGTATCTAATCATCAGATGGATTTTATTTAGTAGATGATGCTTTCAGAATGAATTAAGTTAATAGTTAAAATGCATTTAGGTTCTTAAACATAGGTGTTGCTTAGGTACTTCATTTCCTTGATATTGCTGCTGTTCTTGTTTATATTTCACATCAAAAACATCCTTTCTGATGGAGTGTTAAATAGCAATTAAATTCAAGGGGTGCACAGTCCTTGACAGTTCTGTAATCCAGGGGGTGGAAACAACTGTTCCCACTCTGGGGTTTTAATATTATAATCCTAACCTTGAGTGAGGAGGAGTGCACGCTGTGATTGAAGGGGGATTGTTCCAAACCGGTGTGACACATTCTCGGTAGGAAGGCTGCTCTTCTCCTTTCCTCACCTGAAAACAGACTGAAGCTTTACAGGTTGGAAGTTCTCAGCAGCTGAATTTTGTGAGGTTCAGAGAACTGAACCCCCAGTAGCTTCCCTGTTGTACAGCTGGCTGGTATTGGGAAACGCACAAGTGTTGGATTTGCTGATGATTCCATTTTGCTCAAGAGCCAGAGCAGTTCTGCTGCTTGGAGGGAGGAAAGGTTGGGGACAGATTTTAAAATGATTATTATATATTATTTTAGATGGTATTTTTGTATTTGATTTTCACAGTGGCTCCAAAGAACAAGCTCAAGGAGAAGCTGTGACCTCTAACTGCTTGTTCCTCCTTGTGAATAAGTGTAGTTCTACAACCTGTGAGATTATTCACCCGCCTTTCGGAGGTTATTTAGGACGGGTACCAGGAGTGGGTCTGGATTTCTGCCACTTCTACCTCTTATGTTTATGATATTAATAAACTGGTGTCAAATGTCCTGGGAACGGGTGATGCAGGTTGAAAGACCTTTGTTTCAGCCAACAATAGACCTGAATTAGTGTGAATAGGAAAAGCAAATAGGCACTTCCTGTCATATTTTAAGGAACACTTGAGTTTGGGGCAGTGTGTGTATTAAGAGATTGAAACTGAATGCTCATCATTTGCTTTTTGTCCCTAGTAAAATGTTCCCTGTGCGTATATGCACATGCATTCGTCTTTCTAAATAGGATTGTAGTACTAATACAATAGTAACATCATAATATGTTTGACTCTTTTTAGGGTATTCTTCAGGGGAAAAACTGTAAACTTGTGTAATGAAGAGCTAAAGAGGGCAGTTGTCTTAGTTATTGCTTTCCTAATTGGGTTTGCTTCCATACTAGAACTTGGGGGCCTCTTGCAAAGACTGTAAACTATTTGAATAGAGTGTCTGGGTGGTGCTTCAGACCACCTTGAGGTTCAGTTGCTTTTTACAGGGTATTGTAAAAGCCAGAACAATGCTGTTTGCGGTTTCAAGGCAGAGGATGCCTGGAGAGACTCAAGGGAATTCCTGTTAGGTATTAAATAATGCTTTGTTACTGAGTTTGAAGAATTCAGGCTGATGTAGCTTGTGTTGAGTTGAAAAATTGCTCTGTCTTGAGCAAATGGTACTTGCACTTTGCAGTAATATGCAAAGTATTATTTGGATAGTGGTAGTCTAACAGAGCTGTGGAGGGCTATAAGAAGCTTCATACACATGCCCCTCTCAATTCCAGGGTGAGAAGGATCATAGGATACATGAGCTTAGGTCTGTGTGTAAAATACACCCTCAGAGGTCCTAGTAATGCGTAGGTGAGGGCAGCTCCCAGGGGACTGCAGCCATAAGGGCTCCAACTAATGTCCTGCTATTGTCAGTGTGTGCTGTTCTTTACATCACTAATGCTGGTGCTGAGTTAACCTTCCCAGTTACACACACACTGCCTCGGTGCTGGCAGCCAGGTCAGCAGGAGCTTTTTGTTGTTGTTGCATCTGGACTGATGTAAATACATTTAATGTCCTTCTCTGAATATGGTTAGACTCCCTGCGCTGTTCTCCCACTAGACCGTGTCCAGCTTAGGGGCAGGACAAGGTACTGGGAACGGTGTTGGTTTGCAGCTTGTCATGAACTAAAGATACTGCTGTGGTCGATTTGTTCTCTGTCACACAGTGGAAGAAGGGAATGGGCCTGTTGGTTTCCCATGCATGTGTTCTGGAAGGAACTGCAGGAATGTCTGCAGGTTTAAAAATAGCAAGTAATTAATCAGGGTGATGAGGGTTAATGATTTCTATCCAGAAAGCAAACAGCTTTGCTTTTGTTTATATAGCGAGAACATTCTTCTACCTGCTGCTGGTACGAGTTTAATATGAGGATTTTTCACTGTAATTCTTGAAGCACTTTATTCATAACTAATTTGGGGTTAAAAACCTGAATCTGTTTAATTCTCTTCTCAGATGGAATGATTTCAAGGCAGCTGTTGGGGATTGTTTTCAGCTCTACAGGTTGGTTTCTTCTGTAGCTTCACAATGAAGTTTGCATAAAAGGAGTTTTAGGATGTGGCGCCAGATTTGGTGAGGAGAAATAAAACCTCTACAGAGAGGTATAGTGATCTAGTGGTTATAGTAACTGTGGTACAGGTATTGTCTCACCAGTCCCATGATGGAGCACAGTTCTAAGTCAATTTAAGGTATAAAAGTTCTTTCCCAAAGCTCACACTAATTTTTAATGTGGCTGCTTTAACTCCTATCACAAAGATGAAACATTAAAGCAGTCTAATGTCACTTTAAGTGGTAGGAAGTTGAGACCAATCAGTTCAGGTTAGTGCAGGTCACATCTGTTTTCAAAGTGCTTTGACCTGCTCCTGTTTTGTTGTCTCTGCTTTTCTCTGTGCCACCGCAGGTGTCTTTGAGTCTGTGTGCTGAAGACTTTGAATTTCCTACTATAGATGGAGGCAGGAAGCCAGTGGTCTGAGGTTTAATTCAGTTTCCTTTCTTTTCTAGCAGTGCCAGATGCTGACCTTGTTTAGGGAGCTGCTGTAAGTGTAAGCTTGTGGAAACTGCACATAGAGACAGAGATGCAGTTAACTGGCATTTTGGTTGTGGGCTCTATAGCCTTCTGCAAGTACAGCTCTGCTGTATGGAGATGGGGTTGCTCCTCAGCATGTTGGTTGTATTGCCCGCCCCAGCAGACTGCTTTTATAATACTCTCAGTTCAGTCTTAATAAACTCTGTTAGCTTAGGAAAAAACAAACTGGCCCATATAAATGAAGTGTTTCAGGGATCATTCACTAGAATTTGAGGTGGTACTCGAAGGTGCTGAGTACACTGTTCCCTGTAGTGACTTCTGCTGCTTCTGAAAGTGGCTGTTGTTTAGCACTCTTGTTTGTTGGCCTCTTGCCTTGGTCCAAAAATGGACCATGGGGGCAGCTAGGGATATGAATTTGCTGGTGGAAACTTGACCTGAATGGGGATGTTGAAGCTTACAACAAACAGCAGTTGCCCAGAGAGGCACAGTAATTGTTTACCAAACACAAGAATTAAACTGTTTAGTATGCTGCTACCTGTACAACCTAAAAAGTGCACTCTGTGTTCAATATTCCAGTCTGTGAGTTGTGTCTAAATGAGGAAATTGCTTTAATATCACAGTCAAGATGACTTCTGACTGTGTAAGGAGCTGCTTTTCCAGGCAAGAGGTACTGTATTGTGGTAGATGGTGATCCTGTTCCCTGCTTTGCTATTACACTTCATCTGCATTTGTTACTATTCCAACTTGTAAAGGGTTTTGAGAGTCACTTCTGTTTCAGTTCTGTTCTCTGCAGTTCTAATGCCATCTTCTCACTGTTGCTTTTCAGCCAGGAGCAGCTTCTGTTGCATAGGGCAGATGGATTTGCAGTTGTATTCTTTGAGCATTGAGCCTAGTAAAGCTCTTTAGGAGAATTACTAGCCTTACCTAAAGCCAATGGCAACAAGATTAAGGTATCACTGTATTATTTCAGTGGGAGGGAATGGAAGTTTGCTGTTGTTTTTCTGGCTAAGTCCTGAGGTTTAACAAGAATGGTTGGTTGTATAAATTCACAAAACCACAGAACCACATTATTTTGACCATATGACTAATGTCTTAAGTTGCATTATCTCTAGGCTATCTAAGAACACGATATAAATGCATCTGTGAATTCTAAGCCGTCTTAAGATGCATACATCCTATGACACTGCTTCTTCCTTCCCTTAGCTTGTATTGTTCCTGCTTCCATTTAAAATGTGACTTAATTTAAGCTCCTGCTTCTGAAGGCTGGTGATAAGGGTTCTTGCTGCCATTGCCCGTATGTAGATTTGGCAGCATGAAGAGTAATATCAGGAGGATGTGGTAAACTTCAGGATACTGTCTGAGCCACACTCTGCTATGGAAGAGCAGAGAGCCCTGCTTACCTCTCAGCACACAGAGCTGCAAGATAGGCACTGGTCATGTTAATGTGACTTGGGGAGCTACAGGATAAAGCTTGGTCAAGAGATGGGTCCAACCTTTATTTTAGGGAGCTGAATAGAAAGTTAAAAATAAGATGTGTAATAATAATAGCAATGAGTAAATCACTCAGGCTGTCAAACCCAAAGTTGAGCTCCCGGTTGAGCCTGGGTCTTGCCTGCTCAGAACATGACTTTTATCCTCAAAGACTGGCAAAGTTGGAGAGAGAAGGGGAGAACAAAGGCAAAAAAAAAGAGAAAATGGAAATATGGGGGGTTAGGACTGCTTGAGAAGGTGTATATTTGGTTAATTTACTTAGGGTGAGAAGCTTGTGCAGGGAATTGAAGATGTGAAGTGCTATATGTATTCCCTGTTTGGAAACTGGTATCTTGCCTGTGTATGTTACACATAGATACCTATGTAAATAAGACTGGGAGAGTCCCAACACTTAAATACACCTTTACCAAACCAGGACCAGAGTGCTTGCA